GATGTTCCCGGACCATTACCACGATGCCCTGACAGCATCGCGGGCCTTCTTGTCCAAAGAGGTTGCCAAGCGTTACAGCCTGGACCGCAAGCGACTATGCGTGTCGGGAGACAGCTCGGGAGGCAACCTGGCCGCAGCCGTCGCTCAAGAGGTGACCTAAACTTTATCGTAGCCATTGGTTGTGTGGTTATCATGGCTCCCTCGCAGTTGTGATTGACGTTCTGTATGCGTGTGTGTCCAAAGCTGGGCTCCGACGTGACCCTCACAGCTCACTTCAAGGTCCAGGCACTGATTTATCCGGTCCTGCAGGCGCTCGACTTCCACACGCCGTCCTATCAGCAGAACAAGGCAGTTCCCATCCTCTACCGGCCCGTCATGGCTCGCTACTGGCTGCTCTACCTCGGCGCCGACCCGTCCCTGCAGTTGGCGCTGCTTGCCAACAACCACAGCGCCCTGGACCAGCCCGCCATCAGCCCGGCTGCACGCTCACACCTGGACTGGACCGTCCTGCTGCCGGCGGAGCGTAAGAAGGAATTCCGGCCGCTGGTGGTGGAAACGGGCACGCCGGGGCTGCTGGGCCAGGTGCCGGCCCTGTTGGATGCGAGGGCGGTGCCACTGTTGGCCAAGCGAGACGTTCTAGCTAAGACGCCCGACGCTTACGTCCTGACGTGCGAGTTTGACGTGCTGCGGGACGACGGGCTGATGTACGCTGAAAGGCTGCGGCGAGCCGGCGTGCGCGTCACCAGCGACCACTACGAGGACGGCTTCCACGGGTGCATATCGTTTGCGCATCTGCCCGTCATGTCCGCCGTGGGCCGCCGCGCCGTTGACAACTACATTCGATGGCTGGACCACAACCTCTGAGGAAAGGACTGGACGCTTTTGCCATAGACTGCTGATGTTCTTCTTCCAGGCTGGTGCAAGTGTGGTCAACCTGTCTTGGAACAGAAGGCAGCGATTAAGCATTTTTGTGTGTGTGGGGGTGGGGGGGGGGGGGGGACACAAGAGGG